AGGAGGACTAGAGGACACCAAAGGAAAGGAATGGGTAGCAGGCTTCAAACTAGTAACAGAAAGTTGTTCTTCACAAAGCAAAGAGTCAACCTGTGGAACTCCTTGCTGCAGGAGGCTGTGAAGGCTAGAACTGGAACAGAGTTTAAAGGGAAGTGAGATCAAGTCATGGAGGTTGGGTCCATGGAGTGGTATTAGCCAGGGGGTAGGAGTGGTGTCCCTGCCCAAAGTTTGTGGAAGGCTGGAGAGGGATGGCATGAGACAAAGGGCTTGGTCACTGTCTTTGGTCCATCCCTGCCAGGGTCCCTAGGGTTGGCCACTGTCGGCAGACAGGCTACTGGGCTAGATGGACCTTTGGTCTGACCCAGTACGGCGGTTCTTATGTTAAAAGCCACTGCGTGCGTTCCTCAGCTTACTGATCCATCATTGCATAGCCTCTGAAAAAGGCAATAAAACCAGCAAACCCATGAACTTAGGAATTGCCAAGCTAGATCAGACCAGTAATTCATCTACAGCGAATGTTTTCAAACTTTTTTTTTTCTGGTCCCCTTTGAAAATATTTCAGGCTGTGATAACCTCCCTCCCCCGCAAAGTAGTCATAGCAAATTATTGTACACACTCATAATATCTCCCCCTCCCCCCGGTATTGCCCTTGCTTCTGTGCTGCTGCGGATAGCGCCAGCGCTGACTTCAGAGCTGGGTGGCAGGAGAGTAGTGGCTGCTGGCCATGTGCCCAGCTCTGAAGGCAGTGCCACCACCCACAATAACACAGATTTAAGGGCGGCAGCTGCAATACCCCTTTCCCATCCCCCAGCAATAATTTTGTGATTGTACCATCCCTCTACAAAAGAATTGTAACCTCCTTTTGGGTCAAGACCCCCCAATTTGGGAAACACCCATCTATAGTCTTGTCTCCAACCATGGGTAGCCTTAGCTATTGCAGATAAATCTCTAAGGGTACGTCTACACTACAACGTTAATTCGAACTAACGCATCTAGAACTAAAAACTAGTTCGAATTAGCGTTTTGCTAATTCGAACTAGCGCGTCCACATTAAGTGGACCCTGAAGCGGGGTTAAGGATGGTCGGAAGCAGGGCATCAGAGGAGGACTTAGAGCGGGGAGCTGCTGTCTCAGGCTAGCTGAGGGCTGTGCTTAAAGGGTCCTGACCCCCACCCCGGACAGACAGTTCTCAGGGGTACCCCGCTTGCAAACCAGTCCTGGCTTGGAGTGCCCTGAGTGCCCACACTGGGCACATCACAGCACTCAGCCATCAGCCCGGCTGCACATGCCGCAGGCTGCCATCTGGGGAGAGGGGGCAATTGGGGGGCTGCAGGAGAGGTTCCACCCCCCGAAGCCCGCAGAGCCAGCCCAGTCCTCCCCATCGGGGGCTCGTGCCCCATTCCTCCCTCCCCTCCTTTCACTTACCCTTCCTTAGCCCCTCTTCTTGATGTACAAAATAAAGATAATGTGTCTTCCAAAATGGAATCTGTCTTTATTGAACAAAACTGTGGGAGACTGGAAAAGGAGGTGGGAGAGGGGAAGAGAGAGGCTGGGGGGGGGGGGGGCAACTAAAATGATCAGGGGTTGGGAACAGGTCCCATATGAAGAGAGGCTAAAGAGACTGGGACTTTTCAGCTTAGAAAAGAGGAGACGGAGGGGGGACAGGATAGAGGTCTCTAAAAGCAGGAGTTGGGTGGAGACGGTGCATACAGAAAAGTTCTTCATTAGTTCCCATAAAGAAGGACTAGAGGACACCAAAGGAAAGGAATGGGTAGCAGGCTTCAAACTAGTAACAGAAAGTTGTTCTTCACAAAGCAAAGAGTCAACCTGTGGAACTCCTTGCTGCAGGAGGCTGTGAAGGCTACAACTAGAACAGAGTTTAAAGAGAAGTGAGATCAAATCATGGAGGTTGGGTCCATGGAGTGGTATTAGCCAGGGGGTAGGAGTGGTGTCCCTGCCCAAGGTTCGTGGAAGGCTGGAGAGGGATGGCATGAGACAAATGGCTTGGTCACCATCTTCGGTCCATCCCCTCCAGGGTACCTAGGGTTGGCCGCTGTCGGCAGACAGGCTACTGGGCTAGATGGAACTTTGGTCTGGCCCATGACATCCATTGTAAGCTCAGGGCTCAGGGTCGGGGGTCTCAGTGGACCCCCTTGATTCTCTTGCACACCTGCTCCTGGGTGGCCAGGCTGGCAGCTCTCCTGCCCCAGCCGGCCACTTTCCTGTGCCTAGTGCGGAGATCATGGACGAGGTCCACAATGTCCGCCCTACCCCAGGCGGTTGCCCGCCTCTTGCGGGCCCAGGCAAGCTCCCGGGAGCCGCCAGCCGGGTCCCGGGAAGAGGGGGAGGGCTGGGGGGCATCGGGTGTGTGGCTCGATCCGTGCCAGGTGCAGGGTCTGCTGGCTGGGTGCTGGCAGGCTTGCACCTGGCACGGGCACCGTAGCCAGCCCGTGCCCCTTTAAGGGATCCGGGGCCAGGAGGGGGGCAGTAGAGTTTCCCTGGTGTTGGCCAGAGTGGCCACCAGGGAAACCTGGGGAGGGCTAGCCTCCCACCAGGTTGAATTAAGGGGCTACACACCCCTTAATTCAAACTAGCTAGTTCGAACTAGGCTTAATCCTCGTGGAATGAGGATTACCTAGTTCGAACTAAGCGCTCCGCTAGTTCGAATTAAATTCGAACTAACGGAGCACTAGTGTAGCGCCTATGCAAGTTAATTCGAACTATCGTCTGTTAGTTCGAACTAACTTTGTAGTGTAGACATACCCTAAGAACGGCTGTCAAGGACTGTTATGCATTAACCTGCCCACAGAAGACTTTTTTCCTAAGCTACATCACTTGGCTGATGGCCCAAAATACTGTAAAGTCGCAAGTATAGTGTGCATTTTTTCCCCTTTTTTAAACGTCAAAGTCGGCGTGCGCGTTATCCATAGAAGGTTTTTTTTTAAAGTTTTAAGCTCACCGTCGGCAGGCATGAGCTGGGCGGGGTGTGGGGCTGGGGCAGAGGGTCCGGCAGGTGCAAGCTCGGCGTGCCGGCAGCTGGGCAGGGGAGACCCCACCCCCAGCAGGCACGAACTCAGCTGGGCAGCAGGACCCCGCAGCAGGCGTGAGCTCAGCTGCGCAGGGGGTCCGGTGGCAGGCGCAAGCCCCTTCCTTCCTCTGCATACCTTAAAATCTCGAGTATAATGGGGGTGTGCATTATTGATAGGAGTTTAGTTTATTCAAGAATTTTGACCTTTAAAAGGCAGACGTACATTATACATAGGTGCACATTATACTCAAGATTTTACGGAACACGTTCTTGTACATACAGACATGTCTATTTCTGTATCTATAACTGGATGCATATGACTGTATTCTGGATTTGACTGGCATTAGGCATTTCCAGAAAAGCACAACCTGTTTATTATGAACTTTTATACAATGAAACTCTTTTTAAAAAGCCCTCTTGTTCTGTCTCTTTCCAGGGACACCATTTTTTGTTCGAACTGCAAGGAACTGTATTAATTGTAGCACGTGTGCCCATAGATAACACAAAGATTACAGGCAGACAGTTGTGAAAACCAGATTAACAAGAGAATCTATATTAAGCATTCAGAATAGGATCTGAAATCCCAAAGTGATCAGATAAAGGTGGGACAAATAACAATAACAAGGCAGGTTGATATTACAAGACTTGGGTTTGTTTCACTTCTTGCATCGCGCAAAGAAACTTCTCAGAGTTCAACACTATGTACATTTCACAGATCTGTTCTCACTGCCTTGTTATGAATTTTTCTTCAAAAATTCAAATCAAAAGTTTCGACTTCTGTACATGCTGATTTCAAAGTAACCAAATTTCCTCAAAATGTTCAAAAAAATCTTTGCTGAAAAAAAATTTCATCTTAAATTTTGAAATTTGAAATGCAATATGGGGTTCAGATTTTGAGTGGAGAAATTGTTTGTGATTTCCAAAGCCACAGTGAGATTATGGGAATCAGCCATCCAAATAAATTGGGAAGCTTTGAAAAAACTACCTAAGGGGTTAACCAACCAAACAATGGGCACTTAAGAACAATTTGCACCTTCTTTATCAGCGTCATGTAACATGATCACTCTAATTCACTATTTTTTCCTTTTCTTCTTCCCCTTTTTATTTTGGAACTGGACTTTTAATACTCCATTCATCTGAAGAAGTGGGTTGTACCCATCAAAGCTCATGATACCATCTACATGTTTTATTAGAACTTAAAAAACAATGAATACTCATAGCAGCACCTTAAAGACTATCTATGGGAGTACATTATGTTGTTTTCATTCTCTGATTGGATGAGTATATACTAGAATTAGATGTATTATATAAATACTTGTGTGTATAGGGTTTAACACTGCTTATATTTTACAGACTGCTTAGGGAACAGGAGGGGCAGTAATTTTATTTGCAATAACTAACTAGATCTTGGAGTTGGCTGAAATTCTACTTAAGGTCGGCAGATCTTTCTAATAAGGCAGTTCCCTAGAATCTTGGTCGAAAGCTTTCATAAGATCTGGATCTTCAGAACTGCTGATGAGGGCAACTTCCTTAAATGATGTATCTCTGACCTCCAGGGTTGATGTATTTGTTCCTCTGTCCACTCTTTTCTCAGTTGTGTTCCATTCATGTTCTTTCCAATCCAGTTGCTTTGCACTGCAATAGGGAGCATACACTTCCGTGGTTTCCTCAAACTGTAGGCAATCCACATTGTAGTATTTTTTCCTCACCTCCAAGACATCATTAAACCTGTGTCCCCAAAGGATTTCTCGGGGGACATATGAACTTCTCGACTGATGGGAAGTTCCAGTTGAATCTCCAGTGTAGACAAATGTAACCAAGATTTCAAAACTGTCTTTGGCCAAAGCTTTCCGATCTAGACCGTACAAAGGGCTGTCCTGGACAATTTCATGTACGATGGTCACAGGTGTGACAAGTATGATCTGATCATTTTGTAACTTTAAATCCTTGTATTCCATTGTCATTCTTCCTTCCTTATCTTCCAAATAGCGCAGAAGCTGTGCTCTTACTATGCCTTCAACCATGTGATTTGGCCGGAAATCCCCAATGCGCCACATGAGGCAAAGTTTATCATCTCTTAGGCCTACCGTGGCATAGTAGCTGAAGCGGATAGTCTGAGCTCTCTTTCGAGCTGTGGCCATTTTAGCCAAGGCAGCTCCAATGATGAATGTATCAATAACACAGCTTAATACTGACTGTAGGATCACCATGATGATGGCGACAGAGCACTCCTCAGTGACACAACGAAAACCATAACCTATGGTCGTTTGGGTTTCCAGAGAGAATAAGAATGCTCCCGTGAAGCTGTGCACCTTAGCAACACAAGGGGTTATTTCTTCATCGTGTACTAAATCTCCATGTTGGATTGCAATAAGCCAAAAGACTAAGCCGAAGAACAGCCAAGAAAGAATGTAAGATAAGGAGAATATCACAAACATGTGACGCCATTTGATGTCCACCAGCGTGGTGAAAATATCCGCCACGTAGCTCTCCCATTCTCCAAAGATGTGTTTGAAATACACATTGCAGCTGCCATCTTTGTGGAGAAATCTCTTCTGCATTTTTTTGGGCCCCACTTTGGTACCTTCGCAGGAAGAGTTTGGGGAGCTGAGCTTATTTCCTTTCATATTGACAAGCCTCTTGTGATGACAACGCCTTGTTATCTGTCTTGTATCAGCTCAATGGCCTTGATTTGTGGACACGTCCGTGGTTCCAATGGCTAAACGTGCTCTCTCCTCATTCGAAATCTGCAAAAGAAAATGAAGAGAGGAACGTTTACTTTTGGTTTCCTACGTGGGACTTTTCATGACACCTAAACTGCATGCATTACCTGTATAGTTTCAGCAACACCTGCTAAGTTGTACAGATATTGAATAAAAGTTACGCCTTTAACCTCATAAGGTTCATTAATTTGGGGCTGTACTTGTCAAATAAAATTTGTTGGCAATTTCCTGAACTATTTTAAGATTTTGTTCTCGGTCAAAATGGGCAACAAAGGACATTTGTTTTTTCTATTTTATATATTATATTTCTAATGTTTCTCACAAGTAGCCTTTGGTCAGGAAGGATTGCCATGTAGCCTCGATAGGAATGACAAGCAGCTGCAGGCCTCTACATCTTACTGTGTTACAAATAGCAACAGTTATTAGGAATACTTGTATGTAAGTTTTTCTGGCATTATGAAGACATGCAAGAAAACTCTAAGTACAATTTTCAAAAGCAGCGATGAGACGTAGCCAAAATTTCATTGAATGTCTTGCAATTTAGGCTCCTAAATCATTTAGGTATCTTCAGGTATCTTGGATATGTGATTAACCAAAAGCCAAGCCAGTAATATGAAACACATCTGAATATTTTAAGGTGGACCTATGAATAAATTTCATGTAGTAAATCATTTATGTTGACTGATGATACAGAGTTTATCTTCAAAATATTAGAGTCCATCTTCCTATACCCTAAACTCTGTTGGTCAGTGTTTAATCCCCTTTTTATCAATGAGGAAACTGGGATACAGAGAAGTCACATGATTTTCCAATAAAGATCAAAGGCAGAGGTAGGCTCTGAATTCAGATATTATTTGCTCCTAGTTCTGGACTATATCCACTGTCATCATGCCTTTTGTAGAATAATGTGAGGACTATTCTTGTTTGTCTTTTAATGGAGAGATTTTCAAAAGAACCTAAGGGAGTTAGGTGCATACATCCCATTGATCTGCAATGGGACTTGTGTTCCTAAATCTTTTAAGCACGACTATTTTGCTCTCTGCCTCAGCACGAAGAAATGGACGAGATGACCTACTGGGGTCCCTCCCCGTGCTACATTTCTATGATCCTGTAAAATTCTCCTGCTAAGGGGAAGGGATAAAACCTCTTAGCCTTTGTCTGAAAAGCCACATCAAATTCTATGAACTGGGCTAAAGATTTTGCTACCTGTGAAAGATTAGCAGGAAAAGACCTGATGCTGACATGGGGTTTAGGATCAGTTGCTGCGAATGCAACTCAGATGTCACCAAGGAGAATTTGTTTGCTAACACACTAGCTCTTCCTCTCCCTCCCCCCGCCAAGAGCAGGAACATCATGATCCCCTTCTTCCTTTCCCTTCCTCCTCTCTCTCCACCAACCATTTTGCCCTCTTCACCAGCACAGGAAGTGTGTTGACATTTACAAGAATCTTGCTGAGCAGATTTACTTCTTGTAATTGTATTTGAAAGAAAGAAAACGGATAGCTGCTACAAATGGAGCAGTACGGCAGAGCAGGGTAGGAAGAAGCATCTCAATGGGCAGATGTCAGAAGGGATAAAAACTCCATGAGGATAAGCATCCCTAGCCTCAGAGATTGATATATGAACCCCAGAGGTCTGGTAATCAGGCTGGAGATCTGAACTCTCTTACTAGTTACTAGAAGATTTGACCAGCGTTGCTCGGGACTTTAGTTCAAAGACAAAGTCTCTCAAATGTATAGTAGATAGCTGCACCTTTCTCCACCCCCTGCCCTCTGCTGCCCCAATGGGGTTATGGCTGTGCCAGTCTTCATCTCTTGCTCCCTGCTAAATCCTTGTCATCCGTATATAGTATAACTGTCCCTGCTTCCCATTCCATATCCCTTGCTGTCCCCATGTGGTTATTATGTAGCAGAGCTACCCCTCCACCTTTCCATTCCATGAGAAGCAATTCCATTCCAGACACATCCCATTGCCCTGGCACAACCAAACCTTGACCTGGCTTTTAAGTTCTGATAAGAGGAAGCTCCATACCCAGTTTGGTGATCCTAGCTCTTATCGTTCAGGAGGAGTTCTTGATCAGGCCAACAGACAGACACACAGACAAACAAACTCTCTCAAATATAAAGTAGATCTTACCCAAGATCAAGACCCAAATTTGAGAGTGACCTTGTTTAAAAGAATTATAATGATGGGGACTCGGCACCTACCTCACACAGGTGTGTTTGAAAATCTAGCCCCGACTTTAACACGACAGACAAAAGGTAGAAGAAGGGGTAAGGCCTAGAAGTGAAATGACTTCTCTGAGCTCACAAAGAGGTCAATGGAAGCATAGACCCAGATCTTCTGACTCCCATGGAAGGATGTGAATAATGAAAACTTAAGCAAAAACAATATTGTCTCGTGTAGATCATTATTATTTTCACCTCTTCTCTTGAGTGGATCCCAAGTCAGAAAAGAAGTACTAGAAAAAAAAAAGAAGACGACGAAGAAGAAGCTAAAAGGGAAAAAATTGATACTTTTTTGTATCTCACAATGGCTCCTATGTTAAACTGAGGTACTGAAGTCTTCTAACAGTATCTGAACCATCTTTGGCCATCTCCCATTTTGATGTGAGCAAGACCTGGACTCTTGTTTAAATTTTGTCAGCTTCCTCAGAGAAGTAATAGCTTTGGAACACTGAACATCCAACGTCAGTTTTGGAGACTCACAGTAAACATGGATTCCAACTAAATCATGTAATTTTGACCTTCTTGCGTGTGATGGTGTCATTTTAAATCAATCTGAATGTGGCACAGTCAACTAATATCCTATTAGTTGATGTTACACCCTTTATGAAGCCATTTCCCCATCATTATGTAAACCAGTAGGGGTGAATTATTGTTCAATGATATGTCAGTAAACAGCCTAGTAGTAAAATATTAAGCAAAACCATGTGGAAATCTTTGTTCCAAAATAATCCTAGTTTGAGAATTGGATTATATCTAACAGAAAACAACCTGAAATCTGCACATGAAGTTGGGTACTCTCCCGTCAATGTCTGATGCATCCAATGAGTCCCACTTTAACATTGGCTTAGTAACCATGCCATACTTTCCCACCACATGTTGTGGACGGGGCTGAAATTTTTCCAGTTTTGTACATTGTTGTGCAACCCTGGAAGACTTTCATTTCAGAGACAAGAAATGTGAAGCACTGAAACATTTAGGACTGGCTTTGAATTTACTCATACGATAGTTCCTCTTTTAAAAAAACAACAACAAATCTGTTGTAGATGGAAGAATCTAATATGAGACTTTTTCCTTGATTATTCTTCTGCTCAGGAGACATTTACTTCTCCCAACATAGGAAATTACTGGGATTATCTCTTGAATCACCCATCCATATGCTCTAGTAGGCTATTATCTCACTAATTTCTCACTCTTCCATTGTTGCCAAAGCAGCCCTTTACTAGTCCCTGGCTATTTAGTCTTATCCAGCTTGTACCTGCCCCTCCTCTAAGGACATAGTTCACACTACTCCCAATTCCATATTGTGTCTCACCCACTCCTGGCTCAGGCCTTATTGTTACCATGACACACACCATCACCTTCTTTGCTAGCATGATTCCTTTTGTAGTCAACGTTCTCCATCAAGTCCCAGCCAGTGATGGGGTCCTTAAACCAGCAACCTGCCTTAAAGCGCCTGTGCAGTTAAGCAGGTGATGAACTTTAAGCATGTGAGCACTCACATGGATTTCCATAGGACTACTCATGGGATTAAGTGCTTTGCTGCATCAGCAGGTCCTGCTTCACTGACGTCAATGTGTGTTTTAACACTGATAATAGGGAGGGCAGGATCTGGACCATAGCAATGAGATATGGCTAAAATTTGGAGTAATTTCTCTGAAGTCAATGGAACGAAGGTTCTCACATTATTCTCGTTTCTCTTCCATATAAATGCTAGTTCCTCTTTTTTTCTCTGCAGCTTGAAAGGTTGATTCAGAGACAGCCCAGGTTGTATAGATGCAATATATTAACTGGCAATGGTAATGGACTGAACATTATAGGAATGTCAGCAATTAATGGGCTGATGTTTACCAGGTGATGCTTACTGGTTAACCAGCAGTCCAGATGGGCTGGAACAGCCCCCACCCACCAGATACAGGTGTGGGCTGCTCCAGCCTAGCCAGGCCACCGCACTGTGGGTGGGGGGCTGCTCCAGCCTGGCTAACCGGTTACGTGGTTAACCGGTTAAATGTAACATTTAACCGTTTAACTGATTAAACGGGATTTTACGTCCCTAATAAGCTCTAGCAGTAGCGTCTTATAAGTGATTCCATTTCCCTATATTATTTTGCATATCTAATAACTCTTCTTAAAAAAAGAAATCCAAATAAAAAAATAGAGCCCGGCCTTTTCAAAGCAAGTTTTTGTGTTGGGCAGAAGAAAAAACATTCCTTCTTGGACTACCCATTCCAAACCTCAATAAGAAAAAGAAGACTTAAAATATCAATATTAAAGTGTTTATTAAACATTTTAAAAGGCAGACATAAATAGCACAGAGCAGCAGACGGTTGCACAGACTTTCAAGTCATGCAATGGTGCTGTAATTGGCACTGGAACAACTCACAGCAACAAATATATTGACATTTAATTCATCTAAGTGAAACCAGATCTTGTTTTAAAAAGGGGAAGAGAGAGAGAAAGAAAGCAGTTGGCCCCTGAAAGTTGACACAAGAGGTGCTGGAAGTTGATTTCACTTGATAACTTAGGGTACGTCTACACGGCACACTTATTTCGAAATAATCTATTCCAGAAGAAATACTCTGAAATAGCTTATTTCCATGAGAAATGGAAAGCACTGGCAGCTTGAAACTGATAATTTGGGGCCTCCCTATGAATCTCAGCCTTTTGGAGAATTTGGGGAGGCAGAGAACCTAAAACATTACTTTTGGGGATCCCTATTTTCTGCTTTTAAGTGCCTTTAAAGGGGATATGTAAAAACACAGACAGAGAGGCTGTGTCTACACTGTCAAGTTTTTCCAGA